CTTTATATAATGCCTTGCAATTTTTGATGTAAGTCCCTATAGCAGTGAATAGGAACAAAGCTCCTTCTCATAATAGTCTTCATTTCGTCCCAAGTGGAAATAGGTCTCTCTCCATTTCTCCTTTTACTTGTGATGAGTTGATCCCACCAAACAATGGCATACTCTCCAACTCCACAGCCGCAAACTTTATCTTTTTCTTCTCCGAATAATTGTGGCACTCAAAAATAAGCTCCACCTTGCGCTCCCATTCAAGAGAAGCATTCGGATCATTCTTACCTAGAAACGATGGGATTTTCATTTTGATGCTCCCAATATTTTTATCAGGATCATTTCGACCCCTACCATAATTTCGACCTTGATTGACCAAAGTAGCTTGGTCATCAAATTCTTCATCTACTTCCTCATCAAAAGGTAGTGTTGGAAGTCTTCTTGCCCTTGGATTGGTTTGGGAAGCTTTCCCTCTCATAGAATTTAACTCACGTTGTTGTTTCTCTAGTTTCTCAATCATGTTGCTAATAGCTAGTTGAATCCTCTCAAATTGTTGTTGCATTGCTTTAAGGATGGATTCTTGATCTTTTGATGTTCTTTCACTCCCTTGTGGCTCCATTTTCAAATCTGAAATTTTAATGATAAACAAAATAGATTGCAATCTCACAAATCACTCCCTCACGTGTTTACTCTCGTAGTATGGGCATTCGTGTTTCACTCAATTTTGTCTTTTACCCTCTTTTGAGCTCAAACTCTCTTGCTTTTTACCACTCAAACAATCTTTTATAACTTTATACAAAAGGACCAATTCAAATAGCAATTAATTATCACTATGTACTCAATTTTAATTAGAGATAATAAAGAATTTCTAAAGAAACAAGATACACGAATTCAACTCTAGAAGCAAACTAAAACAATTTAAACAATAAAGAGCACACACTTGATATAAAAATAAGTGTATGATAATTCTTTTGTTAATTAGGCAACAATAAATCAATATTATTATCTCAAGATGTAATAAGAAGCAAATTGGCAGAAATATTAAATGAAAACTAAAGATGCAAGAAAAAAAAATGGTGAATCTGAAATTTAATGCACGAAACTTGTAATTTTCTAATAGAACCATAAATTATTACCCAAAATACTCAAATTAAGTGAAACAAACAGTTTTGGATGAAAACAAACTCAATGAGGTGAGTTGTTTCCAAAGAGCCCCAAAAATTACACAAATAATCTCAACCAAATAAATAGCCTTGAAACGAGTTTCTCTTTTAAATTTTAAATTTATTTAAATGTTATATGAGATAAATAAAAGGGAAATAATAGCAGGTGTTTCAATTACACAAGGTAGAATTAGTTGTGTATTTTGCACAATTAAGCAAATTAGGCTAACGAGTTTTCTTTTTAAATTTTAAATGTATTTGAATGTTATATGAGATAAATAAAAGGGAAATAACAGCAAGTATTTCAATTACACAAAGTAGAATTAGTTGAAGTGTGTTTTGCACAATTAAGTAAATTAGGCTAATCTGATTTTTTTTTTTTTGCTGAATGCAAATTTGTCTCCTTTTTTTTTGCAAGAAATAATGAAAATAAAGACAATACAATAAGGATAGACTAATTTACTTGGTGAATCAATGCTCTGATACCAAATGATACAGAAGTACAAGACCCTTGCTTGAATCTTAGAACTCTTCAATCAGTTTAGAACAGAATTTAGATCACAAGTAAAAATGAATTTAAATTTGTTCAATCACCCCAAAATAGTAGAAGTTAAATAGAACCCAAAAAAGATAATGATATCTCTTGAACCCAATCCAAACCAAGCATTAAGAACAATTGAAATAGAAAATCAAAATTGAAATACAAGTGATAACAATTGTATTACAAATCAACACCTTGTGCATAAAGTGAAAAAAAAAGTTAAAACGCTCTCAACTCAAATTCTGAAATATTTGATTACAACTCTTGATGTCCACAAAGAAGAGTTCATTTGATATTTATAGCCAAAAAAATCAATGATAAGTTACAATACAATAATTACAATTGTAACTCCCACAATAATTAGGTTAATTATGTGATAATTACAATTAAAATCCAACAATAACTAGGCTAATTATAGGCATGTAATGGTTATGTAACTTCTTGTAACTCCAATTTTCTTAACCAATACCACTAATTGTTTGTGGCATCATATAGTTATGGGCTCATTTTTGTAATAACACTGAGATAAGACTTAAACCCAAAATGAGTTACACTTGACTATATGGGTTTAATTAACTCAAGATAAAATAAAACAACGCAAAATACTTAGAATAACTCAACTAATTCAGCTCATACACAGAGCTTATTTACCCATTACCAATAAGTCTCAAACAAGCCCAAATTATCCAAAATTATTTAAATCCAATTAAAATTACGAATTTGAGCTATTCAAAAAGCTCATATTTGAACTTTCCACAATTGACCAGCTTATCATCCACATGTTTTTGAGTGAAAACTTGGAGTAACTCTTTAAACTTATTTTCCTTTAATCTTGTTACTAGTCTGCTAAAATTTTTTAGGTTTGGAACTTTATTTGTGTTTACATCATTTGAAATTTACTCCAAGTCACCTTTTGATGTTCTTTGAGTATTATGAATGTTTTTTAGCCTTGTTTGCTTCATTAATAGTCTTTCAAAGAAATTTAATTATTGTGTAGAGCGGGAGCACCTCTAACATGATTCACCCTCGAATCTTCATTGGATGACCTTAACTACTTCAATACCACACAATAATATCCCATCCAGAGAATTAGAAGAGAATAACTTCATAGAAGTAGCCCACAACCCCAATCAAGCCCTCAAATCTTCAATTTCTTTTATGTAAACATAAGTTAAACAAGCTTCTTTTTCCCAATACATAATTTAAATGTGGTGTGGGTATATGTGCAGTTTTAAGCTTCTATACTTGATAGATGGGGATTGGTGAATGTGTCATAATTTACCTGATTCCTAGGGGTACTGACTATGGAATCTTTTATCTATGCCGATGTATACCATAGAGGTTTGAAGTAAAATATTGTTGTTTCCAAAAATGAATATCTTCCAGTATATACGCGAATTAACTATCCTTTCCAGATTCCACAGATAAATGTGTAAGAGGTCTCACGGTGGTAAAGTAGGCTGGCGAAGCAGTGCAGTAATGTTTGTGATTATGGTCGGAGAGTAGGTGGAACTGGTGCAGAAAGGGTATGGAAAATGGATTCAGTGCTAAGCATATTTGGTTAATCATGTAGAAGTTAGAGAACAGACCATATTTGGGTGGTGCAATGTCTGGCATAGTAGCAGAATCAGAAATGTTTTGATAAGGAAACGTCAACACTTGAGTTGGTAGAATACTTGCAAGGAATTGAACTTAAGCAACACCTTGATTGAGGTAACATACAATAAGTATGGCATCACAAATGAGTTTCTATCAATTTATGTTTGATTTAAATTGCAATGGATGCATGGTGGTAAAAACATTAATGGTTTGAGAAGGAGAGGGGTTAGCACTTGACCTGATAACATACTTTTTAGGGATTAGATTTAAGCAAAATCTGGAGTGAGGTAACATAATTGAACTTGTTGTATGTGACATAATAAATGAGCTTGTATTTTTTGACTCCTATTGCTATTAGTGATGCAGTACTAGGAGCAGATATGGGTTGGCAAGGAGAGTAGTCAAGACTTGAGCTGGATTATTTTAAGGAATCAAATTTAAACATAGCTTGATTAAGTAACATAGAAAAGCTTTTGTTAAGCGTGGCATAAGAACTGAGGTTCAATTAATTTTTGAAGATTATGTTTGACTCCTATCATGACTATTTTCTCAATAGGATAGCTTACTTCAGACAGTTCCTTTCACTTAATGATTACATGTATACAAGTTCTTTGTTCTCTAAATCAAAGGGGCATGACAATTAGCAAGTAATAATTTTGAACGTATCAAAGTTGGAAAGTGGATTTCTTTTCATTAGATTGAACAGGAACATCAGCCTTCTAACTACTGAGACATACACCTTGTTGAGAAACTGAAGAATAAGTCAACTACAATCTTCCAACTGTAACCAAAGCTTGATTAAAGTCTATATTGTTGCGCATATTGTTGTCAAACCATTATTGTGTACACAAAATAATTACGAGAGATACATCAAGACCACATGGGAAAGGTTTACGGAAGAAAATTGGCATGGGTCCAGCTAAATTCCAAGCATGCATTAAGTGGAATGTCAACAAAGGTGACAGTGTCAGGTTTTGGTCGAATCAGTGGTTGGGTCATGGATTATTCCGAGATCAATATCCTCAGATTTTGTCATTGCTCAACATCAGGATATTCTGATTTGCAATTCCTTCAGGAAGGTGCAGGTGGGTAAAATGTTTGGTAGGTTATTGTGAAGAGAAACCTCAATGAATGGGAGATTCTGGAATGTGAAAATCTTCTGTGCAATTTGTTTCTTGTGACCACAGATGGTAGCAATGATAAGCCGGTCGCATCTCAATTCTAGCAGTTCTTTCTCTGTTAAACCTTACTACAAACATCTGTCCAATATCGAAGATATAGAAACCAGATTCCCTTATATTTGGAAGGTCAAAGTCCTGCCTCGGGTAGCTCTTTTTGCTTGGGACGTCGGTAGAAAGTGTATTTTGACTATTAATAAACTAATGAGATGGGACAATATTATGATGAGTACTTGTTATCTGTGTAAAAGAGCTACCAAGACTTGCAATCATGTGCTTCTTTGGTGCCCGGTGGTGTATAAGTTGTGGGCTATGGTGTATGGGCTTTTAGGTAATAGGGTTATGGTGGGCTCGGTTAGAGATGGGCTGTCGGCTTGGAGGAATGAGAGGAACAAAAGAGCATTTGACGGCTTACATCATGCTAACGATTTTGAGTCAATAAAAAGTAGATGGTTTCAAACCTTTACTTTTGATGTTTTGGTAGTTACATAAATATGATGTGTATGGGTTGGTACCCCTTTGATGCCGATTATTAATATAATTTTTTCTCTTTTTCTTGAAAAAAAACTTGGACATGCTATTTACAGGCAGAAAACTCTGGGCAACCGTACTCACTGCAGTAAATGCAACATGGTGCAAGGACAGTTCTGTGGAGATTGTTTATACATGAGGTATAATTTTTTCGCAACATTCTTAACTTGCTTGCCATCTATCCTCCTTTTGATGAAGCATTTTTCACTAGCATATAAATGATTTAGTAGTCAATAAGCCAGTTACCACAATAACCATGAACTCTTAAAATCCCGTGAAAATTGAAGATATGTTGTTTTTCTTTTGCCTAAAAATATGCAGCTTATTAAGTAATGTTTCTTGAGGATTCTATATTAAACATAGCTAAAAGCCAATCCAGTTGCCATAATAGGTGTGTATGTAAGCTGTTTAAATGTCTGTTTACTTTCCAATGTTTCCCAAACATGGGCAAACCATGCTATCAAGTTTTGTTTCTTGAAAAATCTAATTTGAAAACTATTGAAGAATGACTAGACAAATATCTTAATGAAAATTCTGGTTATTTTCCCCCTCTTAACTCCTCAGATCTTTACCTTTTGGAGGCTTGTTTTCTTAACCCCTGATTCTTGTATAGGTAGTTATCCGAGACATTTAATCTAATTCTTTAAAGATATAAGCCAGCTGATCAGTAGATATCAGTCTTTAAACTGTGAATCAATTCTTTCCAAGTATTTTCTTCACTTTTGAATGGCCAGGTATGGGGAGCATGTACTTGAAGCCATGGAAAATCCAAATTGGGTTTGCCCTGTTTGTCGTGGGATCTGCAACTGCAGTTTATGTCGGACAGCAAAGGGATGGCTTCCCACTGGCCAAATTTACAGGAAGGTAAAATATTTTAGACAATATTTTGCCTCACTTATTAAAAAAAAAAAAAAAAATTGTCTCACAGGTCTATTTAAAACATCAGGGCTGAGCTTTATTGTCTCCATCCTAGGTGTCAAGTCTTGGTTTCAGATCTGTTGCACATTATCTCATTCAAACCGGACGCTTGCAAACAAATTTAGAAAAAAATCAAGATACTACAAATCAAGTAAAGAGGTCACTGTCCTTTTCAGCTATAGAGGGACCTCTTGATGTAAATGATAATCCCCATAAAACATCAGGTCCTCAGGCTGAGGATGTCCAAGATAATGACTGGAAGGATGAGAAAGAGATTGAAGCTGTAAGCAACATACCTACCAACAACGAGAATTCTTTTAGGAGATCATTGTCCTTCTCTTTTACTGAATCACAGGCTGAAAACAAGGAAGCTACTGACGTTGTTACTGAGGTCCATGATGACCACCTCAAGCTGTCAGACTCTCAAGTTGAAGATAAGAGCAACGATGCAATGAAAAATGAAAAAGATAAGGAATTGACAATGACAGATAAAGAGCAGTCTAGCAACAGCATAGCAATGGAAAGTAGCTCAAAATCTATGAGGAAGAGGCAAAGGCTCATTACTGAGCCAAATCCAGATACTATAGCTGGAAGGCTGCGACTTAGAAAAGTTAGTGCTAATAGTGATGAGAAGGTGGGAGAGGTGAATAAGAATGTCTTGGATGTTAGGCAGGCTATAAAGAACATTCACTCAGACGAGGAATCAGAGAAAGAGAAGAATGTGCATTTTACAGATGACTGAGGTGAGGATGGAAAATCTACTTTTGCTGCTGACTCGGGCCCAGACATTAGTTGTAGAAGGTTAAGTCATAAAGACGATAATAATGAAATGGCTGCAAAAAAAAAAAAAGATATCACATTTATCACAGGATATCTCATTGGGAAAGAATAACACTGTTCAATAAGCATGGGCATCGAGAGCATTGCCGCTCTAGATCGGGATGCGTGGAACTGTCATATCTTTTTGGTAATTTGGTAGAAGATCATCTTGCGAACCTTGCTAGTGCTATTTGCAACAGTCAACTTTCTGATACAGGTACATTTTGGATTTTCGAAATTTATTTATAGTGTGAGCAATGCTGGTTTGCTACTGTAAACTTTCTCATCAGGCTCTTGTTAAGATCTAAAAGCTGGCATTCAGGGAATTATTTGTATAGTTTTGCTTACAAAGAGGAAGGAAGAAGCTTAAGTTTGGGTTGATATGAGAAAATGCAGTGGTGAACGGTGTAATCAAATACCCATGAAGAAACCAAGCCAGTGTAGTTAAAGCTTATTCTTGCATTTTCTTCAAACCTTAGTGTGGCATCAATTCTTTAAGGATCGTGTTGCATTTTAGAACTACTACGGACCTGTTTGGCGCATCTACATTGCTTCAATCCCTTCCCCTGCTAATTTTTGCTGTTTAGATTGGTGTTTTTTCTTTTAACCAATTAATTTCGAGAGAAAAATAAATCATGTGAACTTGAAATAACTTATTGTGGCATATTACTGTTTTGTTTTAAGCCGAAACTAAATAAGCTTTTACAGTTGCTTTTGGCTTAGAGGTGAATGTATCTAGTACTGTACTAAAAGGCCACTCAGTTTTATGTAATGAACTGACCATGAGGAAAGAAATGGAATATAAGGGTTTTAAATCAATAAAAAAAAAAAAAAAAAGAGGGAGTTTTCAGTGTGTACATCTTGATTTAATTATATTAAGTAATCATGCAACAGCATATAATAAAATTTAGAATAGATTAACCTTATATATATATATATATATATATATATATTGCCTCTATCGTAAATCTTTCTATTCATTCTCAGAGCCCCTATCCATAGTCCAACGCCATGAGAGCTTCTTTGTCTTTGAATTGGAATAGTTTCCAGCAAATATACTCTTTAAGTAGTCGAAGTTTCTCTATTTTTATTTGGAGATTTAGCTACCCTTGCATACTACTGGTGTATGGATCTTTAATCTAATTGATGGTGTTAATAGCTTTCATTATTTCCAAAGTAATAGTTTATTATTAAAATTAAGATTCTCAAGGATTAGACGTTCCAATCCATTAAAAATTTTTACTACTATTTTAAGTATGCTCCACTAAGTTCAATACCAATTTACTGTAGGTTTGAAATACGTAATATATTTTTATATAGATATTATTTTGTACTATATTATGATTAGTATTTATATATGATTTATTAGTCGTCGTATAAAATTTTTACTTAAAAATATCTGTTAATTTTAATGTTTTCATAACCCCTTGTTAAATTAGAGTTGAAATTTCAAGGATACGAGAGAACCTAATTAACTGATGTTGCAAAGAAGATAACATTTAGCAATGTAAATCAGTTAAAAACCAAATTAAAAGATTAAGATTGAGGTAGGTAGGAATTCGGAATTGAAATCCATATTAATTCCATCGATTAAAAATATAACTTCACAAAAAAATAATGAAATTTCAAAATCTTTTTTCAAATAAAGCTTGTTTGAAAAGGATACAAGATAAATATGTCAACCTACTATTTACTAAATTAGTAAATTTAATCAACATAGAACTTATACAACACAAAATCTTACTAATACAAAATCCTAATAGTCACAACATCATAATCCAACCCAAATAGTATACAACTAACTTATCCAAAATTTGATATTAAACATCATATTTTAATTTTTTTTTTCTAAATTATAACCCAAATTATATATTGTTGTTTCCAATCAATGCAACCCAAGAGGAGGGATGAATTGTGTTTTTTATATTTTTGTTAATTTCAAATGTTAACCCCAATTATCTTAAAACTTTAAGTTTCTAAGTTAATTTCCGATTAGCCTCGATAATAAAGTGTGGATTTTATCAAATTTTGTTTTCAACTTTGATTATGCAATCTAAGAATAATCAGTACAACTCAAGAACAATCAATGCAAATAATTATAGTAAAAGAAATAGAAAGAATATATATGTATAATTTATAGTGATTCAATTTAATAGGTACTTAAGTTCTCTTCTCAAGTCACTACTTAAGAATTTCATTAATTATAAACACATTTTTTTTCCGACAATTGACAAGTTATACCTCTCATAATGCTTATTTTTTTCGAAGTTGACAAACTACATCTCTTACAATACTTGTTTTATTCAAGGTCGACAAACTACACTCTCTTTAAGTGTTTCTCTTAAAATATTTTTGTTAAAAGATTTTTCACTACTTTCTTATAATATCCAAGTATGATTAGAAGAATAAAACTTGATACTTTCTCTCCCCCAAGGATAGATCTACAAATTTAAATTTTAGATTTTAAATATAGGTTCAAAAAAAGTAGAAGATGGAGCCTTTATATTTTTAAATTTTAAATTTTAAAGAAATTTTATTAAATGAAGTGGAGAATGATAGTAAAAAGTATTTATATAAAATTACCTATTAGAAATATGCCTTGGTAGGTCAAAGTACTTATAACTTAATATGTTCAATTTTTTTATCTTTTTAAATTTTTCTAGTCTCATATGTGTTCAGACATTATTGACATATTATGTTGCACCTGTATGTTCACATTTACAGTAGTTAAAACTTTTAAGATTTAATTTACGAATTCTTTTAAAATATATTTGATGATTTTCTCTTAAAAACGCTTTTTAAAGATCATTTTAAAGATTTTTAAAAAGTATTTGGATTTTTTAAAAATCATATATTTGAATTTCTTTCTACAAGATCTAAAAGTGAAGTTGTTACCAACTTGTGATTCATCTCTTGTTCCTCTTTATTCTTTCCTCTTCTTAAAGTTCTTCAATCTAAGTTTCCTTTATCAATATTGTACATTTAATTTTGTAATAACTCATAAAGTATTAATTTACACAAAATAAGTATTTAATATTATTAAAATTAATATAAATATTTTAACACATACTTTATAACTTTCATACATATACTCCAAATACTTTAAACATTTCACTTTTGCCCTTACTCAATTTTTATTTGGATTAAATGCTTTTTTTGAAAACTAAAATCAAAACTATAAGAATTAAAAATACTAAAATAAAACATTTCAACTGAAATAAAAAACCAAATCAACCAAAAAGGACCTAAGAATAAGCCTCAACTCCATTATATTTTAACTAATCAATTAGAAAAACTAAAAATTGTGTGGGTGGTTGATGAGCCTAAACTAGAGGTAGTAAATGAATCCATGACCAAGATATTCAAATTGTTTTACCTACACCAAAAAGCTTTTCTTCATAAAAGTTAAACTTGTGTTAGATTTGATTTTAACGAATTATATCACTGGTTTAGTAGAAAACAAAAAGTTCACAAACCTTTAACCAATATCTACCTTATATTAAACTAAACTAGAAGCCAATTATTCTTACTCTTAATTTTTTATTTGAGTCTCACATTACAAAGAGAAATTACCTTGTTGACTCCTATAGTGTTGCCTTGCTCATCTCTATTAGTTATTGTCTTGTTGTACTTATTTTTACATTTGTTTCGTTTTACTTTCTATTATGCATTATCTTTGTATTTGTTTTCGTTGTGCATCTACATCTACTTCAATTGTGTTTGCTTTAGTTTCACCAATAAATTATCTAGTAGGTATTGGTAATCTATTTTCGATAATTGTGTTTGAAGTAATTTTTAAAATAATGTGCGAATCTTATTCAGATTTCTCGTAATTGTTAAAATGTGATTGAAATTAACCAATTTGTAAAGAGCCATATGACACTTGGTTTAAGGTTCTACATACATTTTATGCATATTTTTTTTGTTTCTACATTGAATCATAGGAGAAAACTGATCCATGTTACACAAGTGTTATATATGGAACTTAATAATGCATGCACTACTTAAAAATAAACTTAATATAGTCTTTAAATATTATTAGATATTGTTATTAATAAATAAAACATGAAGTTCTAGTTTTGTTCTTATATTATTTGCGATAATAATTATTTATGTTTGTTGGTTTGTTTGTTTATTTTTTTTCCTAGAGTATCTCCTTCGTGAAATATATCTTTCAACATTGTATTTCGCATGAATTATTTGTCTTTAACATTCTTTGCTGCCCCATTATAAATGCTCTATTCATATTTTTGTTTAATCATTTGGTTTTGATGTTGTAATTTCTTTCTATAAAAAGTAATTAGTTGAGTTGATTTAAGTATTTAAATATATATCAAGTTCCAACTTAATGTCAACATTAGTAATATATAATAAGTAAGCCCATTAACCTGGCCTATCTATTGTCGTTCGTATCCTAAACTCAAATAAAATCCTAATTAGGGGTATATGACATATATATTTAAAGGACTTACTTTCTAGTTTACATAAATTTAGATCCATATATGTGGTTCCTTTAGTCAAACCCAACTGATTTATGAGGTAAAAAAATAAGTTCTTCCATCTAATTGTTCTTCTTTTACCTATAAAGAAGTAGAAGCCAGAATATCTGTAGATAATTGAACCTTCTTTAGATTTCTCGACAAGTCATTTTATGACGTCTATTAAACAAAGATTGGGTGTTAGATATATATACATAACTTTAAATCTGTTATATACTCCTTTATGAAATGGATTGTGTGATCCTAAAAACCTTAAAGAAATATAGATACTAAGATAAAAAAGATAACATAAGTCTTTTTAGGCTGTATTATTATATTTTTCTTTCAAGAGCTTGATATTTATTCTCTTAGCGATAGCACTAGAGGTCAAGTTGGGTAATCTATACCTAAAGTTAGTTCGTGATAAAAGAAAATGAGTTGGCAATTCTTTCTGCTCTAATAAAAAATGACTAAACAACTCATGTTTTTTGTAATAAGAGAAAACACTAAAGGTTCCAAGATTCGAGGTTGTGACTTGGAGGTTTCAGGATTAAGAGGTTTGACAATCTAAATTTTATTAATCATTTATTATATTTTGTTAGAAAAACTTGTACTATCTAATATTAGAGGAACAATTCACAAATAAGGAAATTAAAGGACAAAAATGCAAAAAAAATTATAATACGTGAATAATCTATTTAAGCTACCTTCATAACTCATCATGATAACAAATTACAATGAATCTCTTTGACATAATCTATAGAATCTAACTGAATGCATCTCATATTCCCAAACATATAAAGAGTTCATAGTTTCTAACTGCACCGACTTTTAATTATTATTCTCTCTATATGTAAAACATAAGTTTTACTTTATCTATTCTTGCTTCTTATGTGTCCAAAATTTGCCTCTTTTTATTGGGCATATATATCTCATGACTCGTTTCCTTTCCGTCACTCCTCTCCTAGCTCAGCACACATTCTCTTTCTCTCATCATCTCCAATTACATAAGAAGTAAAGAAGATTCATGACAACAAGTAAATTAAATTTAATACTGAAAAACTTGAAGCCATAAGGTGACAAAACCTAAATAAATATTTCCTTTGACTTAAAACTTTTAGTCAATTGAGCTGTCCTAGAAAACCTATTTTTCTTTACGGGGGTTTGTGCGGTGGTCGGGTCTCCATGAGAGGAATCCAAAGGCTGTTTGTTATCTATGTGTTTGCAACTTT